TCATAAATGTTGATTTTTTTTCTCTTTTTTTTGTTGTTGTTGTTGTTGATGTTTTGGTTATCTGTGTGAAATTTGGGTCCGTTTTCCTGTTTAAATGAGTGTCTGTCTGTGTATTTGTCTATCGTGGTGGGTATAGAGATCGATAGGATATGTGTGTGTGTGTGTGTGTGTGTGTGTGTGTGTGTGTGTGTGTGTGTGTGTGTGTGTGTGTGTGTGTGTGTGTGTGTGTGTGTGTGTGTGTGTGTGTGTGTGTGTGTGTGTGTGTGTGTGTGTGTGTGTGTGTGTGTGTGTGTGTGTGTGTGTGTGTGTGTGTGTGTGTGTTGTGTGTGTGTGTATTGTGTGTGTGTTGTGCGTATGTGTATGTGTACATGTATGTGTATCTGTGTGCATGTATGCGTATTTGTCACCTTACTGACAGACAGAAAGACAGACAGAAGGATAAATAGATAAATTAGGAGAGACAAAGAGACAGAAAAGACGAAAGACAAGAAACACGCACAAGTAAAGATACACTTACACAGGGCTTTCGTTATCTATGGAGATTTCTGTTATCTGTTTCGTATCGTGGTGTCATGTTATGTTTGAAGATCACAATGAGATGGGCATATTTACGTTGCTGGCGAATGGAAAAGGAAAAATGATAAAAATGAATAAAAAATGGAAATACATTTTTCTCTCTGTCTCTCTGTTCCCACCTCTTGTCTCTCCTCTATCTCTCGCTTCCCATCTTCCTTCCCTTCCCCCTCTTTCTTTCTCCCTCCCCTTCTCTTCTCTCTTTCCCCGCCCTCCCTCCGTCTCTCCATCTCCCCCTTTCATCTCTCTCTTCATCTCTCTCCTTTATCTACTTACAGCTGCATCTTCTTTATTTGGATCGGTCACGTCGGTGATGTAGTCCCATCTTGCTGTCATTTCCAAATTGCACTCATGGCTAAATCTGAAAGAAAAAAAAACAAAAACAAAATACATTAGTTTCACATAAATAATCTTAAGCACGTGGGGTCTCCTGCGTTTTCTATGAACATGCTTCTCGTTTTCTATAACCCGAGAGGGATATTAGCCGAACGACAAGGAGACTGACGGCGGCCATGTTGGAACACCCATGAAATCCGACATAATATAAAATATTACAATATATCGTTCTTCTTTTTTTATATTGAATAAAAAGCAAGGAGTTTATCAGATAAGAGGAAAATAATTAAGGAAAGAATGTGGGAACTAGATGAACATTCGACTGCTTGTTCTCCCGAAAAAGTGTTAGTCAAAGAAGAAAAAATAATATATCTAAGAGAGCTAATGATTAGTCATTTGCATATTACGAAAGAAGATAAACAGAGAAAGAAACAAAGCAAAACGGTAACAAAGAAAAGAAAACCGTTGGTAAATCTCATTTTTTTATACAAAAGAGAAAAGAATATAAGAAATAGCTTAAAAACGGACGAAAAAGAAAAAGAAAAAAAGAGGAAGAAGAAGACGAAGGGGGAAGAGGAGAAGAGGAAGATGAATAAGGGGAGGAGGAGGAGGAGGGAGGAGAAAAAGAAAAAGAGAAGGAAAAAGAAGAGAGGAAGAGAAGAAGGGCGAGGAGAAGAAGAAGAAAAAGAAAAAGGAGAGGAAGAAGAAGAATGGGGAGGAAGAGGAGAATAAAAAGAAAAGGCAGAAGAGGAGAAGGAAAAAAGGAAGAGGAGGAAGAAGAAGAAGAAAGGGAAGGAGAAGAAGAAGGGGAAATTAAGGAACAAGAAAGGGGAAATAAATGAAAAATCAGGGAAATATACAGAACGAGAGAAGTGACACAAAGGCAATAAAGGAGAAGGAACAAACACAATCCATCACGCAACGCACGCAACGCACGCAATTTGACGCACGCACGCAAACTCTAGCCAACGCACCCGCACAAACCCAATAAAACACACACAAACCCACCCGCACAAAGCCACCCAACCCACCACAAGCCCAACCCACCCACAAAACCCCAAAACCCACCCGCACCATCAAAGCCACCCTCAACCCCCCACCCACAACCTCCCACCCGCAAAACCCACCCACAAGCCCACCCACCGCTCAAAGCCACCCTCAACCCACCCACGAGCCCACCCACCCACCCGCACAAACCCACCCACAAACCCAACCCACCCCTACCAAACCCACCACAAGCCCAACCCACCCACACAAGCCCACCCACACCCACCCGCACGCTCAACGCCACCTCAACCCACCCACAAGCCAACCCACCCCACAAACCACCCACAAGCCCAACCCACCCACAACCCACCCGCAACACCCTACCCCGCCCACGTCCTCACCTGGCATCCAACTCCTTCATGAACTCCTCCGCCTGCAGCTCGTCAGTGATGAGCCTCGCCGAGGGCCCCTTCACCGCCGCCGCCCCCCCAGCAGGAGGCCGGCGAGGGCAGGAGGCGCGGGAGGAGCAGGGCGAGCAGAGGGCGCGTCATGGCACCGGCGCGAACGAGGGCCACGGAGGTACTGCTGGCTGCCTGGCTGGCTGGCCGGGTTGGAGGGCACGGCCGTTCGGCAGGTGGATGAGCTGGAGAGGGGGGGGGTGGGGATGGGGGAGAGAGGGGGGTAGGGATGGGGGACGAGCAGGAGAGGGGGGGTGGGGGGATGTGGTGGGAGGGAGGGGGTGGGATGGGGATGGGGGTGAGGGGAGAGAGGGGGGTGGGGAGGGGGGATGGGAGAGAGGGGAGGGGTGGGAGGGAGAGGGGAAGGGGGGGTGGGGAGAGAGGGAGGGAGAGGGTAAGGGGGTGGGGAGGGGGAGAGAGGGGGGTGGGATGGGGGAGAGGGGGAGGGAGGGGTAAGGGGGTGGGAGGGAGGGAGAGGGATAGGGGTAGGGGTAAGGGGGTGTGGGAGAGAGGGGGAGGGAGGGAGAGGAGGAGGGGAAGGGTAGATGGGGGTTCTAAGGGCAAGGGAGATGGGGAGGAGGGGGGAGCGCGAGGCAGGGAGAGAGGGTAAGGGAGGGTTGGTAAGAAGGGGGAATGGGGGGGGGAGGTCAGAAGAGGGAAGGGAGTGGGAGGAGGAGCGAAGAGATGGGGGACAGGGGATAAAGGGGAAGAGGGGGAGGTAGAAAGGGGTTGGGGGTTGGGGGGTGGGGGGTGAAGTCGTCCCGAGTGAGTCTGGGAACGAGATAAGAGAGACGCTTATCGGAGGCTTGAGAGGAGAGAGAGCGAGAGAGAGAGAGAGAGAGAGAGAGAGAGAGAGAGAGAGAGAGAGAGGAGAGAGAGGAGAGAGAGAGAGAGAGAGAGAGAGAGGAGAGAGAGAGAGAGAGAGAGAGAGAGAGAGAGAGAGAGAGAAAGAGAGAGAGAGAGAGGAGAGAGAGAGGAGTGAGAGAGAGAGCAGGAGAGAGAGAGAGAGAGAGAGAGAGGAGAGAGAGGGAGAGAGAGGAGAGAGAGAGGAGAGGGAGAGAGACGGAGAGAGGAGAGAGAGGTGGAGGAGAGAGAGAGAGAGGGAGGAGAGAGAGAGAGGAGAGGGAGGGAGGGGGCGAGAGGAGGAGAGGAGAGGGAGAGAGGAGAGGAGAGAGAGAGAGAGAAGAGAGAAGAGAGAGAGAGGAGGAGAAGGTACCGTGGACGGAGAGAGGGGAGGGGCTCGAGACGGATTTCTGTTGTCGTAGTAGAGACTCGTCTGCGTGACACCAGGGTGAGTGAGATTGGGCGGGAGGAACGCGTCAGAGAGCGCGGGGCGAAGGAGAGGAGGAGGCGGGATACGTGAGAGGGGAGAGAGAGAGATGGGATGGGAGAGAGAAGCGGGGTAAGAAAAAGGGGGTGGGAGGCGGGGGGGGGAAGAGAGGGAGGCGGAAGGGGGGGGGGAGGGGGAGGGGGGCGGACGGAGGTGAGGCACCGGAGAGGGACGAAGGGGCCGCGGACCCTCGCCACGGACGGTGGCGGGCGCCGGAGGGGGAGGAGAGGACCGAGAGAGAAGAGGGGGGGGAGGAGGAGATGAGAGAGAGAGTAGAGAGAGAAGAGAAGAGAAGAAGAGAGAGAGAGAGAGTGGAAGAGAGGACGAAGAGGAGAGAGAGAGAGGAGAGAGAGAAGAGGAGGTGAGAGGGGGGGAGAGAGGGGAGAGGGAGAGGGAGGGAGGGAGAGAGAGAGAGAGAGAAGAGAAGAGGAGAGAGATGAGGAGAGAAGAGAGAGGGAGAGAGAAGAAGAGAGAGAAGAGAGTGAGAGAGAGAGAGGCGGGGATAGAGAGAGAAAGAAAAGAAAGAGAGAGAAAGCGAGAGAAGGAGAGATGGATGCAGACAGATGATGGGAAGGGGAGGAGAGAAGAAAGAGAGGAGGTGTATAGAAAAGGAATAAGGAGTAAAAGGAGAAGATAGGAGAAGGAAGAGGAGGACGCGAAGAGAAGAAAGAGTTAAGGAAGAAGAAGAGTAGAAGGAGGAGGAGGAAAAGTGAGATAAACTGAGGGAGAGGGAGACTTGAAGAAGGACATGGAAATATAGTAAGAAATATAGAGAAACTGATATAAAGAACAAGAAAAATCGAGAGAGAAATATAGAAGGAAAAAATAGAAAAGAGGAAGAGAGAAAGACCGAAATACAGAGAGAAAAAAATATATATATATATTAAAGAGAGGAAAGAGAAATTTACAGAATAATAATAGAAAGATCGAGACAAAGAAGAAAAGAAAAACAGAAAAAGAGAGAGGTAGAAATAATAAAATACAAGAAGTAAAAAGGCAAGAAAGAAAGAATTAGAAACGAGAAAGATAAAGAGAATAAGAAAGATATAATTTACCAACAAACAAATAAATAATAATGTATATATATAATATTATATATATATATATTTATTATATATTATAATAATATATATGTATGTTAAATATTGTATAAATATATGTATAATATGTATTATATATATATATATAGTATACTATATATAATATATATATATATATATATATATATATATATATATATATATATATATATATATATTTATATATGTATAAATATATATATGTATTATATGTATATATATATATATATATATATATATATATATATATATACATATATATGTATATATATATATATATATATATATATATATATATATATATATATATATATATTATATATATATATATATATATTAGTCACAGGACTTCCAGGTGGGAAGCGGAGCAATATAATGAATCTCAGCACTAACGCTGTCAAAAAAAAAAAAAAAAAAACATTCTCAAGGTTGAACAAATAAGCAATTTTTTTTTTTTTTTTTTTTTTTTTGCTTTAATTGTAGAACTCTAACGTTTCGGGTTAACAACACCCACCCTCAGTGAGACACAACTGTAAACAACAATTTCGTAGATGTAAACAACCAGAGAACACCGACCAGTCAGTGTTCTCTGTGTCATATGTGTTATTAACAAGTTTAAGCACCAGTATTAGTGTATTAAATTCTAGCTATAATGTGAATATGGAGAATACATTGTTTGATTCAGTTTGTGTTCTTGATAATTGTCGTTGGATTGCCATATTCCAAATAAGGTTATTTCTTAAATCTACATATTTTTGTCAATTTATTTACCATTCAGTTATCATTATTTGACGTAACTTTGTTTCTATAATAATGTTGTTTACAGTTACGTCTCACTGAGGATGGGTGAAGTAAACCCGAAACGTTTGAGTTCTACAATAAAAGAAAAAAAAAGAAAAAAAAAAAAAATAATAATAATAAACATTTAAAAAAATATATAAAAAAATCATTGCTTATTTGTTAAACCTTTAGAATGTTTTTTTCTGATAGCGTTAATGCTAAGATTCATTACATATATATATATATATATATATATATATATATATATATATATATATTCATATATATACATATATAACACACACACACACACACATATACATATACATGTACATAAACATATATGTATGCTTAATATATGAAGTGGTATCCGCAAGTAATCTTATCTGATTGTTGCAGTATCGACGCGGTAAACAAGTGCCAGCAGAAGATCTACAACATGTTAGTATAACCTATACTCGCCGCTTCGTCTTAAATCATACTTGTTATAAAAGACCATATTATATCCATGATAAATTACCACACCAATTGAGATATTGTATTGATGTATGCTCTCTACATGACTGTTGTATGTCAATATATACGTTTCACATGGCTTGTATATTCATATGTGTAATTCATATGACTATTGTTTATCAGTATATACCATTTATATGACTATAAGTTTGAAGGAGGGATGAACAAGGTAGTTCCAACTTAAGCTAGGAGGAAAAAGATATTGATAGTAGTGATATTAACGACAAATTATTACCACTATGATTATATTTTGTTGTTGCTTTTGTTCTCATCATTATCATTATTGTCCATATTTCTGGTTTATAGTAGTCATTATCTAGCTCCACCTCCTCCCATTATCATTACATATCATTATTACCATTATCATAATTATTGCCATTATCATCATAATTATTATTATCATTGTCATCATCATAATTATTACCATTATCATTATTATCATTCCTACAACGTCCGGATTGGAAATAATGCAAAAGTGCGCACAACTCTTTCCCCAGCTGGCGTAATTTGTGAAAATTGAACATATTGGGGTCATTCTACGGAAAGTGGTCCTACATCTCAAAATAATAAGTGGGTTTTTTGTGGCAAAAATCCATGTTCATGCAATCTCTGACATTGAAAGTTTCAGAAAATGTGAAATATCACTAATTGCAGATCACCTGAGTAGCAGTATAACCAGTTGAAATTGACTACCCGTTAGTGACAACCATCCAAAAAAAAAAAAAAAAAAACAGCAAATGTGTTAACGGAAGGATATGAATTTATTTCATGAAAACAAGTTTGTTTTTGACTGTTTTTTTACATACATGTCTGTACTTCATGAATAATAACATTTTGATACCCTCATAACCTTGATAGACCACAAAAAGTAAGATGGAAAAATGTACAAACACGGTGTGACACACGTAACAAAAATTATACATCTTTTCCACAGGAGTCCACTCAAACCACTCAGACAATTTCAAATTTAGTTTTTAAAGTTAGAATACAGATACAAATAGATATTAATCATCAGTATTGCCAAAAGTGTCAAGCTTTCCCAAAATTATGTAATTTAAAACCTGTGACACACTTAATGCTACGTGTGTCACATGTACTCGTTATATGTGTCACAGGACAAAAACATGATTTAAATTACAAACTGCTATTTTTTCTAGATTAAATTTCAGGAAATGCATTTCTAGGTCAAAATTAAGATTCCTAAAACCAATTAGGGCATACAATAGAGGAAAAATGTGATTCTAACGAATTTTAAAGTCAAACTGCAAATAGAGAACATCTTCACCTTACTGATACTGGAGGATTTATCTTCCTAATTATATTCTCAGGTCTATAGTCCATGGCCTCTTGTTGAGTAGGCAAATGGAACGAAATTCAGCTCAAGGATCAAATCTGTTCATTGGTACCAACCTTGAAAGGGCATAAAACCCAAAAAACTGGT